ATGTATTTCATTTATTCAGAAAAGGACTTTAAAGAACAACGCAACTTATAAACAAAGTCAAGAAAACTAAATAAGGTAAGGATCTAGATAACTATAAAAGGAGATAACAATAAGGAAATAAAATCGATTCCTTTAATGTTTGACATATTAGCTGAAAACTAATTTTAGATGAAAAACTAGTTTTTAGTTAAAATCATAGTTTTTTCCTGATAAGTTAGCTAATAGTTGATATATTAGCTAATAAAGTAATAGTGTTTGGTAAAATCTAACTGATAAGCTAAATGACATATGTAAAATGACATAAAAATGCATTTAAGTTTATAATTAAAAACAAACGTTATATTAGACCCCAAGAATTTGATACACGATGCGACATAACGACACAAGTTTTCTATGTATGGGTTCTACAACTTCATGGTTTGTATCGACACAAATTTCAGATTCATGTTTCATGTCTTAAACATACCAAATACAAATTTACTTGTTTAAGCATGTATAAGATATGAATTAAGTTCGTGTGACGCGCAACACATATATACACATATAGAGACGCAACACACGACACCTATATACACGTATAAACATGTATATACACAAATTAAATGCATGTTTTACTGGCTTACAAATGTTATTAGACAATATGTATATAGATTCGTCTAGCATAGTTAAAAACATGTCGTGTTTGTGTTTGATACTCCAAACACATTTTTGCAAATTTTGTCGTGTAAATTCATGTCTGGCACATATAGACAACATGGAAAAACGAATTGTAAGTTCTATGTTATATTTTCAAGATTTGAGTAAGAATAAGAAAAAAATGAAGCTGGTACATCACTTTGGTGTTTTATTTTTCAAAATTTGAGTTGCTCAGACAGTAGGTTATTTTTTGGTTAAGTTATAAGAAAACTAGTGTATACTTGTCTAATTATATTAACTATGTCTAAATATATTAAGTAGATGTAAAAATACATTCTTTGTTGGGGGCTACGTCTTGTCTTTTCATTCCCAAAACATAAAAGGGTTTAAGTCATTTTTGGTCACTTAACTTTTGGTTTTGTGTTGATTTGGTCACTTAACTCTTTTTAAGTTTTAAAAGGTCATAAAACTTTTGGTTTGGTCACTTAACTTTTTGATTTGTGCTCATTTAGTCACCTAACTTTTAAAATTGTGCTCATTTAATCACTAAACTTTTGAAAAAATTTAAAAGTTTAGTGACTAAATGAACACAATTTTAAAAGTTAGGTGACTAAATGTGACCAAACCAAAATTTAAGTGACTAAATTAGTACAAAGCTAAAAGTTTGATGACATTTTAAAACATAAAAAGAATTAAGTGACCAAATGAACACAAAACCAAAAGTTAAGTGACCAAAAATGACCTAATATATTATTTTGATAAGTTTTTCAAAGAGTAAATTACACGAATGGTCCATATGGTTTGGGGTAATTTGTGCGTTTGGTCCCTAACTTATTTTTTTAACTCGGGAGGTCCCTACTATTTGTTTTTGTTACGCGCTTGGTCCATACTGTTTGTTTTTTTGTTACGCGTTTGGTCTCTGTCTTACATAAAAAGACTATTATTTAAATAGGAATAAATTGTGGGAGTGTGTTTATAGGTAAGACAGGGAGTGTGTTTATTTTAATAAATTAAAAAATCAATGGCAAAATAGTCTTTTTAGGTAAGACAGGGACCAAACGCGTAATAAAAACAAATAATAAGGGCCTTCCGAGTTAAAAAAATAAGTTAGGGACCAAATACGCAAATTACCCTAAACCATAGGGACCATTCGTGTAATTTACTCTTTTTCAAAAGAGAGTAAAGCAACATTGTGCATCGTTTAATGCATCTAGAAGAAAATAGACAAAATTGTACAAATGGTCCATGTGGTTAGCTGAAAATTGTCACTTTGGTCCAAAAAAGGTTTGGACTAGCACCAGAGGTCCAAACTTTTCATTTTGTTGCGAGTTTGGTCCAGTTTTCTATAAACTTTTTCATAATGACTATTTTGCCCTTATTTTTTTTTCTTTTTCAGTTTTTTATTATTTAAATACTTTTTTTGATTAAATAAAAAATAAAAAGAAAATTTACATTTTCTATTTTATTTTTATAATTTATATAACAAAATAAAAAAAATAAAAATGAAATATATATATATATATATATCTCTCTCTCTCTCTCTCTCATATCCTACCAGTAAAAGGAGGTGGTTATCCCTCATCCTTCTTCTTTATTTTTGAGCAAGAGAGCTCCACCGGAGGTGGAGCTGTTTTCCGGCCACCAAGAAACACCCACCATCACCGGTGTCACCTCCCTCTCCCTTCCTCCGCTGTTTTTTTCCCTTCCTAGAACAACCCACCACTTCACCACTCACAACCACTGTAACCACCACTCCAACCACCCACTTCCTTTTGTTTTGTCAAACAAACACCAACCAAAAGCCGCCGCTACTGCGATAGTCGGAGTTCTTCCTCAACCACCGCAAGACACCACCATCTCTAATCTCTTTTTTCTGTTGAATTGGAACGAGCTCAAGCTCCAACCATCGTCGATTTATTCTTCTTTTTCCGGTGGTAAGCAAGAAACGAGAGATCAATATTCGATTTTGGTGTATCATGTTGCGAGTTCCATCATAGAAAACTTAAAATACATAATCGAAATCACAATTTTAATACCTTTTGAATGTTGGGTACCAATTCTCCAAATCATTCCAGTTACGATGATCCTGCAACCACTTTGATTCGAAAACCTCTAACAAAAATCAAAATCTAAATCACCAAATACTGTCGTTCTTCAACAAGATCGAATTTTGACTTTTAATTGACTTTTCATTTCAACTTTAAAACGAATCTCATCTTCCATTCACAATTGATTATTAAAATCGAAATCAAAACTCTAAATCGTTACTCAAGCACTATTATTTGCATCTCAAATCCCTTGCTATCAAACTAAAAAATCAGACCATCGCTAATCAAACCATCATTATCTCCCGCTTCACAATCGACCAACCATGAACACAAGATCGATTCAGACTATCGAGTGGGATTACAAGTCGAGAGAGAGAGAGAGAGAGAGAGAGAGAGAGAGAGAGAGAGAGAGAGAGAGAGAGAGAGAGAGAGAGAGAGAGAGATTTCATTTTTATTTTTCTATTTTGTTATTAAAAATTATAAAAATAAAATAGAAAATGCAAATTTTCTTTTTTATTTTTTCTTTTAATCAAAAAAATTATTTAAATAAAAAAACTGAAAAAGAAAAAAAAAATAAGGGCAAAATAGTCATTATGAAAAAGTTTATAGAAAACTTGACCAAACTCGCAACAAAATGAAAAGTTTGGACCTCTGGTGCTAGTCCAAACATTTTTGGACCAAAGTGACAATTTTTAGCTAACCACAGAGACCATTTGTGCAGTTTTGTCAAGAAAATATGTTTGAGCATTTGAAAAAAAAATAAAAATAAAAACAATATATGCTATTATTAAATGATAAAAATGAAAACACGGATTCTCGATTATTTTTTGCATTTTGATGATGCGAAATTTCAAATTTTGAAAATAAAATTATTATGAAGTTTTTAATTTTTATCCATCAAAAATTTCACAATGTTACAAATATTAATTTTATTTTTAATTAACAATATATATTAAATTTTTTAGGAAAAGTTCCAAAATTTTGGTTCAGTTTACGTTTTAGTCCTAAAAACCGGAAAAAATTTGCATTTTGACTCTTTTTGACCGGTTGAAACCGGTAACAAATTAATTTGAGACTATTTTGTGAACTGATTCAAAATATTGAGACTTTTCTGAAAACAAATACCTTATTATTATTATTATTATTATTTCATTAAAAATATACTACATCCGTCCCAAAATTATTGTCTACTTTAAATTTTGAAGTCTTTCCATGTCAACTTTGACCATAATAATTTTATTTGTATTATATAATTTTTGATGAAACTTATAACAATTAAAATACATTTAAAAAACAATCTATTCATAAATCTTGTATAAAAAATTATATAACAAAAAGTAAATTATTTAAGGTCAAAGTTGAACAAAAAAGACTTAAAAAGTCAAACGTTGATAATAATTTTGGGACTGAGGGAGTAAATAAGTATATTATTTTTTAAATTCGTTATTATTAGCATTGTTAATAATACATATAAATACGTTTAAATGAAAAAAGAATATTAAAGACATTTTTAATGATGAATGTGCAGCAGATGGTAATGATTTAAGTATTAAAATAATGAGTGTGCTTGTATATTTTTACTTTGTATATTGTTATTTCATGTTTGTTATTATTGTTTTCAATTCAGAATATTAACACTTAACAATTTAAAAAAAAAGTTGCATATTTTTCAAATTGTTTATAAATAGTAATTTTGCATATTTATATTTTTTTCAGTTAAATGTATGTATATGTATTATTAAAAATATTAATAATAACGAATTTAAAAATTAGTATACTTATTTATATTTTTAAAATAATAATAATAATAATAAGGTTTTTGTTTCAAGAAAAGTTCTAATATTTTTATTTGATGAAAAGTCTCAATATTTTAGATCAATTTACGAAATAGTCCTAAATTAATTTGTTATTTGTTCCAATTGGTCAAAAATGGTCAAAATGTAAACTTTTGCCTATTTTTATGACTTTTTCATAAACAAACCTTAATTAAAGACTAAAACGTAAACTAGATCAAAATTTTAGAAGTTTATTGGAGATTTCAAAAAAAAAAAAAAAAAAAAAAAAAAAAAAAAAAAAAAAAAAAAAAAAAAAAAAGAAGCTTATAAATGATCTTGGTGGTTTTTAATAGCATTTTTTTCAAAAACTAAAATGAAACACAGCCTTGGTGTAAATAATTACATATATTTTATTAGAAAGTGGTTGACCTTAATTCCATAAAACATCATCATATATCCGATAACCTTATTAAAAAAACAACCCCATGGAATAAAAATATGCTTGTCAGTGATGATAGTCGAAAGAACGAGGGTAGACTTTGCTAAAACAATGCCGTGCACGTTTGAGGCTTCCTCACAAACTTCCTAAGCTAAGAAAAGTAATCCACCATTGTTAAAAATTAAAATCCTTTCATTCATTGTCTCTGTCTGTGTGTACGTATATTGACGATGGCTCAACCGAGCTATTCACCTTTGTCTTGGCCAGTTTCTGTGATAGATTCTCAGTTCATGGCACCATCTCAATTAGATATTATAGTTGATACAACTTTACGTGGATACATTGTGATCACTGATACGAACCATAAAATCCTGCTCAAAGTGAAACCATGCGACACATCTTTTCATTATCAGAGAGTGCTACTTGATGCGGATGACGAACCCATTGTCATGATCCGTAAAAAGGTGCCTTTAAGTTCAATTTTTAATATATTTTTGTTCTTTAGAGTTTAAAAATTCCATGCTAAATTTAACATTGAAGTGGACTAATATATCTTGCAGTTATTAACTGGACACCATCGATGGAATGTATTCAGGGGTGACAGTAAAAGCAAATCAGATATAATATTTAGCACAAAAACACCTAACATGATCCAGATGAAGACCAATGTTCATGTGTTCTTGGCAAACAAAACCAGTAGTAAGCATGTCTGTGATTTTAAGATCAAAGGAAGCTGGTACAACAGAAACTGCACTATTTTTGTGGGAGATACTTCAACACCAATAGCCCAAGTAATTCTCATACCTTTTAGCTAGATGATGGTATTCTAGTAGATTTCTATGTTTTCAGTTATGTTTGTATAACTGAATAGATTCCGTATATATGTTGATGAACTTAAAGCTCAAGCTGAAACTAATTAACGGACTTATTCTTGTAGATGTCTAAAATTCAATCATCAGAGAAAGCAAAGTTGGTTGAGGGAAAATTCATGGTGACCATTTGTGCCAGTGTGGATTATGCGTTTGTGATGACACTTATAGCCATTGTTGAGGCTATGAAAATGATAAAATCTGACAAAAGAGATAAAACTTTTTCACTAGTTGGTACAATTTCGGGTGGCTGTATTTCTGGTGGACTTCTTATGTAGTACTATTAGTTGCATATATTATCTATTCCTAAATTATTTCCGTCATGCATGGATCAATCAATGGGTTTATAGATTGATATAGTTTATCCTGCATATCATCTTTTCACGTTCTGATGAATATTTTCAATGTTTGTATAACTGTCCAGAAGTATCAAACATTGTAACATAAATATGTAGCAACAGTCCAGACATAGTTGTTTTATGTTCTGTTATTATAATATAATGGTGATTGGTGTTGTATTTATCATATATATATATATATATATATATATATATATATATAATTATATATATATATATATATATAAATGATATTGGACCTCCGCTGTCTTCTCCGGTGTGCTTGGGTGGATCCTAGTGGAGATCTGTTATCACAACAAAAACAAACATGCCGCCAGCTGATATCCGGGAGGAGATCCCGGGAGAACGCCTTGACGGTCAAGTCGGTCTATGAGAGATATGAGAATGTAGGTAGCGTAAAGCTTAGAGAATTAGGATTCGATCCCTTTACCGTTGGTGGCATGTGGCCTTTTATAGTGATGATCTGGGCACGGATCCTGCTCGTGGAGACAGGAGTATCAAATCCCCAATCGTGATAGAGGTGTTGATTAGTAGATCGTACATTTTTCCCCTATCCAAGCCGTGATTAGCTTAGCAATGGTAGCGGTGTGTGCACCCCTACTGGATTTGGCAGGTGTCGATTTGTCGTCTGTTGACTTTCCCGTGCGTGTTCTAGGCTGGATTCTGGACATCAGGGGATAGTCCGATCCCGGTTTTGGCAGGTGTCGATTTGTCGTCTGTTGACTTTCCCGTGCGTGTTCTAGGCTGGATTCCGGACATCAGGGGATAGTCCGATCCCGGTTAGACAGGGTACTGAGCGGCAAGGATGGCCGGCTGGCTCGCTCGCCTTTAATATTCATGGCGTGTCTAGGATGCATGTGATCAAGTCTCCCAAGTCTTATCCGTGGTGACATAGGCATGCTTAGTTATAACCGGTGAGACTAGTCTTTAAATGACGTGTCCCGTTGTGCTTAGTCGTTGTCTTTCCGGCTACACGTCGCAGCGATTTACATATGTGATGTCAGTCGTCATCATTTGGGTTTTCGAATTTCCCATCCATCAGTACCTTTTACGGTTTTCCCCTTTTCGGTTTTCCTCATTCTTACTCTTTGTCTTGATTTCTTCTATCTTCTTCTTTCTCTCTATCATGGATTCTCTGATTAGCGTCGTCCCAACCCTCAATCAGTTTGCTGCTCTTCAGAAGAAATATGGTTTCCAGCCGGATGACGGCATGGTGTTTCCCGGAAAGAAAGCCAGTTTCATCAATCCTCTAAAGGGCAAGATCAGCATATATATGAAACACTTCGACGCCGGGTACGTCTCCCAACATCAGATTTCTTTCAAGTAGTTCTTCGTATTCATAAAGGTCATATCAATTGGCTGGTTCCCAATGGAGTAAACCAAGTAGTTGCTTTCAAAATGTTATGTTGTGCTAATGGAATCAATCCTTCCATATAGGTCTTTCACGATTTCTTCTGTTTTGCTTCTGCTTCCTCCGGTGAAAGTTACCCCTTTGATGTCCGCAAGCATAGTCATGTTCTGGTAACAGAGCAGTTGAACTCTCCGAAGAATTAGGCGAACCTTTATTATTGGGTTAACATAGACCGTATGGGCTTTATGGAACGTCGCTCGACTTCCATTTTTGATCGGTCGTTTATCCTTTATTTGGACAAGGAGCAAATGGGTAGGGTTCTTTGTTATATCCATGTTGTGGTCGAAGACTTTTCAGAATATCTGCTCGCTAGAGCTGGTATGAGTACTTCATGTAGGCTTCGTGGGAAGATGCAAGAGTTTTACGTTATGTCGAAAGGTTTATTGTTGTTCCAATTCTCTTCTCCTTCATGTAGGCTTCGTGGGAAGATGCAAGAGTACCACCCCTCCCCTTTTAGAAGAGTGGGAAGTGTTGTGATCCTCTATATATGATTTTGCATGTATGGTGAAAAGGGTGGACTAGTTGGATGTATTGGTTAAGAAATGGGTGGGAAGTCTCCGATTTCGGGAGGTGGATCTTATGGATAAGGTTCTGCCTTGTTTTCCTTTTCGTAATGAAGCTTTTATTGCTCATTTTGTTGTTATTCAGGAAGTTGAGCGTCGACAAGCCCTTGCACAACCGTCACGTTCCGCCACAATTGATTATGTTGAGTCTTCTCGGTGTAAAGTTGTGGGGGAAAAGTTTATGGATGACAACAAAGAAGGCGTTCTTCCACCAGCGAATATACGGAAGGTAGATTGGAAAAATGCGAGCACTACGGATACTGAGGGTCTCATGCTTGTTCGACATTTGCACCCACGTCAGTTGGCTGGTGGTATTCCTCGTGTTGCAACTATTCAAAATAAATTTATTGACATTTCCGATGAAGTGATTGTGGAAAAGTGTTTTTTTCCTAATTCTGATGCCCCCATTAATGAAGTCGCTGTTATTCAAGTTGTTACTCCTGAGGCTTCTAATCGTAATGACAAATGTGTAGTTGGTATGGTTGATGAAAATGGTGCCCATTATGTTGGTTTTGGGTGTGGTGGTTCTTCGTTGGATGATGGAGGTGAGGAGTTGGGGTCAAGTTCTGTAGGGTTTTTCCTCGTTGGTCCATGAGGGATAATTGTCATTTATCTATGTTTGAGACTACTATCGATTTTACCATAAATGTATTACCCCTTGGCACATCGACTAAGATTGCTTGGTATTCGTTGTCCAACTTCGTTGGTTCACTTCGATTTGCTATAGCCTAAATTGTTCTCTTTTTGATAGAAGGGGCTAATTGTTTGGAGCAATTTCTTGGAAGTGATGAGGAGCGGATTCGTCTGCAGAAGGAGACACATACGTTACGCTCAGAACATGCCATGTTATTGTCTTTGCGATCAGAGTTTCAAACTAAGGTGTCCCAACTGGAAGGAAATCTTTCTTAAATGAAAAAATTGATGTGAAGAGGCAGACATTGAAGGAGAAGGTTGTGCGTCTTGAGTGTGACAAGGTTGCTCTTGGTGTTTCTATAGGTCAATTGAAGCAAGAGAACCAGGGCTTAAGTATTCAGGTGGAAATTGCTGAGAAGGAATTGATGGAAAAGGATCGGGTTATCACTAAGAATTCTGCTTTGGTTTAGGGTCCAGATATGAAATTGGGATAGGTTATGAGTGGGGTTGTGGGTCGATTTTTGGAGAGCTAGGATTTTCGATGTGGAGTGAAGCAGTTTCGTGATGCATATATGGCGGCATGGAAGGTGTTGGATATTAGTCAAATGAAAGAGCTAGTGCAAGGAGGTGGGAGCATGTTTGGACTATGCGCCTGTGTTGGGGTTGTGAGATTTGATGTTGTTTGTGACAACCCGATTTTTTTTTTAACTTTTTCCTGGTAAAGCTCAGCCAGTCAACTCAACTGAGTGTCAGACTCATTCCTGCTATCATTTAGCCTCGTTTAGAGTCCGTTTAAAGGTCCAAAGGTTAGTACATTCAAGCATTGAGCATAGGAATGGATCGTGTACACTTCTAGCATCAAAACCGGGCCTTACACTCCAACACAAGGAGTGTACGGCCGCACACATGGGTGTGCGGCCGCAACACCCCTCTCATGGCAGCACACTCATTTGCATAAAGGTGGGACTTAGCCTTCTTTCACCCCTTTTCACACTCCCAAGCCTAGAACTCGATTTCTCTCTCAACTATCATCCGATTTTTGGCGTAGATCTTCAAGAATGTAAGTGTTCTTCCTTTGATTTGTCGTTAATCCTCTTCATCTAGTAACATCCTTGATTTCATCCATTGGAAATCATGTTTTGACTAGATCTTCAAATCTTCAACCATTTCACCAAGAACACACACTTGTTCTTGGTGATTTTGAGCCTTCTCGAGCCTCCAGATCGTAAGTACTCTTCCCTTATGCTTGAATCTTGGTTAGAACACTTGATTTAGTCTTAGAAAATGCCCAGAACTCAAGAACATATGGTGTGTGCGGCCGCACACACAGGTGTGGCCGTACACCCCTCAAAACACCCTCAAAGGCTTCCATATTGTAAGTACCATCCCCTAAGCTTGTTACTTACTAGATATGAGCCTTAGAAAACGTCCAAACCATGTTTATCAAGGAGTGTGTGGCCGCACACACTTCATGTGGCCGTACACCCCTTTGTTTAGTGCTTAAGGGCCTCCAAAGTGCCTTTCTAGCTTCAACACTTGATGAGCATTAGTCCTACAAGCCTCCTTACCCTTGGAAAACGTTTTTGTGCACTCTTTACCATGAGTGTGAGGCCGCACACTCCCTGGCTGCACACTCCTCAAAGTGGCCGTACACTCCCTTAAATTGAATCACATGTGATTCCAACACTTGGTCAAAGTGTTTCCTAGTCCCGCAAGGTGTTTCCTTGCATTTGGTTGCTTCTAAACACTATATCTATGCCAATATATGCCATTATATGTCATTTAGGACTTGTTACGTCTCGGGACTTCATTCGTGGAACTTCTCATCCTTACGCGTATATTCGTTTGAATCACCCACATAAGGTGAGTTCATACCCCGTAAACAATCTTTTAAACTGTTTTAAATGCTTTTAAGGGGGGAATACAAGTTGAACACAATGATAATTGTGTAATTGTTTGTTATAAACATTTTCAAAAGACCGTTTATGTCATTTATAAGTGGTCAAAACATTTCAAACACTCTTTTAAAGTTATGTTACTTTATAGTTTAACAAAACTCCGTTTTTAAAGTACCAGCATAACTTAGTAGAAAAATGAGTCTTTTCAACAACAGTTCAAGTAAATTGCTAGTAAACTATAAGGAGTATAGTTTAGAGGTTCAGTTCATACTAGATACTAGAGGATACTAAGATACTATAACAAGAGAATACTAAGATACTATAACACGAGAAGATACTAAGATACTATAACGAGAAGATACTAAGATACTATAACAGAACGAACTTACTAAGATACTATAACTACAATGTGAGATACTACTATAACAGAACGAACTTACCGGTAAAGGGTTTAATCCGTTTTTATTAAACTAGTGTAACTTAACAGACCTTAGATGGTTAATTCTATAATACCTTAGTTTATACACCAGGGTTTTATATAATTACTATCCGATAGGTAGTTGGATGTATGCCTTCCGCTTCATTCCCTGTTCCTTGTTTGGTTGTGGGCTTAGGGCAGATACCCACATTTAACTATCTATTCGATATTAGATT